TGGGATCCGAACAGTTGATGAGCACCATTGACTTCCATAGGAAAAAAAAAATACTCTGGAAGTCAATGGTGCTCATCAACTGTTCAGATTCCAGCATTTTTCAAAACATCTTCTTTTGTGTTCAACAGAAGAATGAAGCTCATACAGGTTTGGAACAAGTGGAGGGTGAGTAAATTATGACAGAATTTTCATTCTGAAAGTGAACTACTCCTTTAATTTTACACAAACATACTATATAGTTTAATGCACTACAAAATTTAATTTACATTTATTAACTTGGCATGAAGTTTGGGAGTTACTTTGCAAGGCTATATGCATAAACATCCATTTGGGTCAAAAATGAAGCATACTTTAGGCTTTGGATAAAAGCATCTGACAAATGTGAAAGTGGCTAGTGACAAATGTAAAAGTGCATCATGGATGTGTTACTCTTCACAGACACCGCTGGGTTCTGGAGTCTCTGATCTCTGTCTTTTCTTCCTGCTCATACTGACACTAGACAAATGCAATGCCATTTTAGACCAACCTGCAGTGAATCTGCTGTTTCTCAATCTCTCGTCTCAAGCACTGGCTGCTGTCTATAGCTGGTCTATAATACCTTTGATTGACATTTATTCATTTATCAGATGTTTTTATTCAAATTTAGAATTGAGGAGTACAACAAAGTGATTTATTCTAAGCAAGCAGTAGCAAAGTGTTATAGAACAAAGTTCCAAGATTATTTTGAGGAAAACAAGCTAGACTAGAGATGAATGTAAGGCTGATGATACACGGGGCAACTTTTTAAGCAATGTCGCTGGGCAATATTGCCATCAATGGGCAACCAGGTGAGACACAGGGCCCACGACTGATCCAAAGTATCCAGATAGAAATGTGTTGCCAATTCTCAACAGGAAAGTGCCCAAAACATCATTTAGCAATATTGCACTGAATTGAATTGAATGAAAATAAGTTGCCCCATGTATCATCAGGCTAAGAATTAGATCTATGTTGCTAAGACACTTGAATAAAAATGTCTGCCAAATGCTACAATGGTTAATGTCTTACTTGGGCTCAGAGGTCATTTCTGCGTCACTGAAGGCAGAGGGCTGACTCTTCATGGGTTGTTCACAGCTTATAGAGGCAGCGTCCTCCTCTCTCTCCTCTTGTTGACTCATTTTAGAGGAAATGTCCTAATCTGCTGTCTCGTCATAGAGTCTCATTGTGGTGGCACGTCCTCTCATCTGCCAAAGAGTGCTGGAAATATAGTTTAAAAGATAAAATAAAGATAAAAAGAACTAAAAGTAAAACAAAAATTGAAAATCAGACTGTTGTTATAGCACCTCTGTGGGTGTTTTCATTAAACTGACCTACAGTCTTTAGCATCTATGCTGTGTTTGGTCGGTCTTTCTCTTTTTTTTTTTAACTATGTAATACTGTATCATAATTTGGATATGCCTACAGATGTGTAGTACATTGCTTTTCAGCTTTGTCGAATTCACAAACAATGGATACACTACACAGTTAAACAGCACGCATTTCATTATTTCGCGTTTAACAGAATCAACATCCAGTGGTTTATTAGCATCGTTTCTTATTGGTGTTTACATAGAGTAACGCTAAATCTGTCAATTAAAATTGGCCTTGTAGAGAAATATCTGAACGCAATGAGATAAATCGCAGCGCTTTACTCCACTGAAATGCACGGCAGTGACTGCTTGCTTTTATAAAGTAGACCGATGCAGTATGCATCACCAGTAAGGTGTTATGTATGTATTTCGTTCTCCGTTATCGCTGTCTTCTTACGCGCTTTTGGGGGCTCTGAGAGGAAAATTATAAACGTGTTATTTAGCTCGATGCGTTCAGATGCTTGTCAGATTCCCTGCACATAGTAGGCCTAACGTTATGCAACTGTATAAAGGTCGTGCTGAATATTGTCCTTCAATATCACATAGCCTACAGTATGCCACATTAAAAAAATGTTTCTCGAAATGATTCCGGAGCTGAAATCCCATATAAGAAAGAGTCGACCCTAAATAGCAGCTCATTTTTATAGCACTACATGATTGCACGAAGAATATGTTCTGCACTTACCACAAAAATACGCGGCCGTGTAAATAGCCCAGTGAGTGCGTCACTTTTTCCTGCTCTCAGTGTAGTTTCGGGGGGATGCCAAACGGCGTTTTTGCGCCCCTAAAGGATGCTGTGAGAAGGGGACGCCAGACAATGGAAAGTGAAAATGAGAAAATGACGTTGTCTGTGATTGCTCCTTCCCAAATGCTTCAATCTGCAAACGCCACCCCTCCAGAGTTCCCGCATCAGATGCTGCTCTCTTCAGAGGGAGTAGAGTATAGTGCTGATCTCTTCAGAGGGAGTAGAGTATAGTGCTGTTCTCTTCAGAGGGAGTAGGGCATAGTGCTGTTCTCTTCAGAGGGAGTAGAGTATAGTGCTGATCTCTTCAGAGGGAGTAGGGCATAGTGCTGTTCTCTTCAGAGGGAGTAGGGCATAGTGGAGTAGGGCATAGTGCTGATCTCTTCAGAGGGAGTAGGGCATAGTGGAGTAGGGCATAGTGCTGCTCTCTTCAGAGGGAGTAGGGCATAGTGCTGATCTCTTCAGAGGGAGTAGGGCATAGTGCTGATCTCTTCAGAGGGAGTAGGGCATAGTGCTGATCTCTTCAGAGGGAGTAGGGCATAGTACTGATCTCTTCAGAGGGAGTAGGGCATAGTGCTGATCTCTTCAGAGGGAGTAGGGCACAGGGTGCTCACTGCTGTAGTCAGCTGGCTGGAGCTCCGCAGCTTCTCTCTCTAGTGGCGCAGAGCGTCTTTACAGCCTCAGAGAGCCTCAGAGCAGAAGTGCTTTAGCTGCTTTAGGTGACTAAACACACACACAGCATTCATAAATGAAAATTAAACTCAACACGACGAATCCCACATGAAAAAAAAAATACTATAGTAATCTATAAATACTATAGTGTTTTTGAACCATACTATAGTAAAGTGTATTATAGCTATATTACAGTATTTACAACACTTTGTTAATGAATGCTACAGCATACTGTAGTATTAACTATAGTGAACTGATAAACTGTAATAAATACTGTAGTATTCTTTAGGTTTTATTACAGTAAACTTTACTGTAGTATAATATACCCTATAGTTGTAGAAAACTTAGTACAGTATTGGGTAAAGTAATTTGTTTATATTACTATAGTTTTTCTATTACCACAGCAACTATAGAATTACCACAACAAATTAATTCAAGTGCTTTACTGTAGCATGGTTCAAAAACACTATATTACATTACTATAGTATTTTGTTCATGTGGGATAGACGTCAGTGAAATTCCAAGTCAACACTTTAATCTCACAGTGATGTCACCATGAGCTCCCACACATCTGAAAAAAAGGTACATCAGCTGTCACTGGGGCAGTACCTTTTCAAAAGGTACACTTTTGTACCTTTTAGGTACTAATATGTACACTTTAGGTACTAATATGTACCTTCAAGGTACCATTATGGACTCTTTTGGTACAAAGGTGTACCTTTTGAAAAGCTGTTTTGACAGCTGTTGTACCTTTTTTTCTGAGAGCGCAGGATACCCGTGATGAGGTCACAATGTGAGGTCACAGTGAGCTAAAAGTGTAACCTCACAGCGCCCTCAATGTGTGCGCAAACTAATGTGAGGTCAGCGTGAGCTACAAGTGTAACCTCACAGCGCCCTCAATGTGTGCTCATACTAATGTGAGGTCACAGAGAGCTAAAAGTGTAACCTCACAGTGCTCTCAATGTGTGCTCACACTAACGTAAGGTCAAAGTGCACTCGCTGCACAGAGACTAGATACCCAGCATGCATTGCAGCATGAAGCTTTTGATTGTCACCATTGTTGAGATTCATACACTGATTCTTGTTGTTTCTCTTTGTGTCGAACCAACACAGCAGTTCAGAATGCTGGTTACTTTCGCTTTTAAAATGCTTCATAAGTGATTATGACATTTCTGGATCCTGTATAATCACATAATGATTATAATTATTAACTTTAAATTGATAGCATCTAACAAAAATAGCATGCTGAAGATGAAGTGTGAAGAAACTGTGTTGTTATCATCAATAACAAAGCAATATCATCTGGTTGCTGTCTCTTTTTGGAATTCCTCGCCATAATATATGTGCGTTACAAACACAGTTACAGCAGCCCCCCCAAAAATGTGTTATAAAGTCAAGGGTCAAGAGCCCAACTAAAGCAAACACAAGTTACCTTGATGGTAGCGTCAAATGAAACAATAAAACATCATCATCTAAATCTCTGTTAATTCTCGATAAGCGCTTTTGTAGATGTCTGAGAGAAATAAAGTCAGTCTGGTTAATAATGAGTGAAGCTGGTGATGCTGTTTGTGGAGTTGTTTAATCATTCTGTGCTGAGATCATGAAAGATTTAATGTATTTTGTTTTTCAGTTGATTTCATGGAAGGCTGTGTCTGGAAGTCAGTTGTATGTTTGGAGAAGGTTCTTAAAACAAAGTACTGTTAGCTGAGTGTGCACTCATGAGCTCAGCATGTGAGAGCACTGTGATATCACTGTGATAGTGTTGAGAAACAGGATATAGAAAGCTTCCTCGGTGACTGATATTTGAACTGCCTCCTCTCAAATGTTTGAAAACATCTATAAAAGTTTCTGAACTCAGTCCTGCATCTGAAAGTGTGTATTTAGTCCTAAACACACACACACTCACTCATCTGAACTATAATAGTATTTAAGTATAGTCTAGTTGATACTACGGTGACCGGGAGTTTACAGGTTTGGTTCATTTAGTTTTGTCATTGCCACAACATAATAAGATGTGGAATAGAGTAAATAAAAATGCTTTCTTGTAGGCCTATATTTTATTCTTTGTGTTCTTGTATATGCTTTTAACATATATTGATAATTAAACCTTCATTTAAATTAATGCCGTCATTGCGTGTTATATAATATACCTTATAAGAGGTCTTTGTCATTCTTCATTCAAAATAGAATGTATACATTTATTAATAATAGCTATTTCTGATAATCCCTGTTCGCTATGGTCATGCAGGTTTGTTTCCACATTCAAACTGAGCTAGTTTAAGCAGGTCTGTCTGGTTCCCCAGGTGTTTTCTTAAGTTGCAATGCCATAGGTTTTCAGAGAAAAATAAAAATGACTAAGAAGCCGACTGAAGTATTTTACTTGATTACTGCATATTTATAGGATTATTAAATTACATTTCGGAAGGAAGAGATGCAGTTTTTACTTATTATAATTTTACTTCGACCTACAAAAAGGACACGTTGTTTTATTAATTTTTTTGGTTTTCTTCCATCTTACTTTACAAGCCAGTCGAGCACCTGTAGCTCTTCCTCAGTCTTACAGGAGTTTGCCGTTTTTTTTTTTTTTTGCTGTTAGGGGAAGTTTCATGTAAGTTATTTGCATATCACGTAAAAACAGAGTAGAACAATCTGTGAACAATCTCAAACTTTGATGCATGCAGCCACTTTTTTCTACTGCAGGTAAAACACACTTTGACATGTTCTAACAGGAGTTCAACCTGCCCCATAGATGGAATGAAAGATCCTTTTCTGAAATAAGACCATTTGAACAAAGTGAACAACTTAACTACAAAAAAAAGGACAGATTTGCTTTAAGGACAAATTTGTATCCAGAAATGACCTAAACCATACAAAACCTCCTCATTGGACAAAATTATATATAAAGATTAAAAATGTCACATTACATATTAAAACATAGTACATTTAGGCCACATGTTAGCTGCTAATCTACAATGGCCACATGGTTTTCTCAACTGACAACTTTCAACTTCTTTAAAGACAATGCTACAGATATTAAACACATCCATTTCGACCATTTTTTTATGAATGAACTGTCATACCAGATCTCCTTCTCTTCGCACTACCATATTAAATAAATATTCAAGTGTAAAAAAAAACGAACAAAAAAAAAACCGGATTGACAGAAACATGAGGAGGGCTTTTTATCTTACGTGAAAGCAAACCTCTGACAAAGGAACAAACCAGTGCAGACACACGAAAACTTTGTTCAAGCAGAATCGTAAGTAGAGTCACATTTGTTTTCTACAGCAATTTATACAATACTGATTGCTAAAAGC